CAGAAAAAGTGTTGATTGATAAACTGTGTTTTCCCTGACGTGTTTTTCTTTTCTCCCTCCTCTTCTGCAGGTCATTTCTGACAACCCTATTTTCTGTAGTTTGTAGGAAAGAGAGACTAAAAAGCAGTCTAGAAGAGCTTATGAATTGAACATCCCTCCTCCAAACAATAGTATGTAATTTTATTTATTTATTCATTCATTCATTTATTGGTGGCTGGCCAGTCCAGGAATCTGAACCCACGATTTTGGTGTTACAAGTCTGTGCACTAACCAACTGAATTAACTGGCCAGCCCCTAGCATGTAATTTTGATTATCAACCCCACAGGGGTGAGAAATTATTCCCTAAGAAGGGATCTGAATCATGTCCTTGGAGTTAATGCAGTAAATGAACAAAGAAGGTGATATCTGGAGAGAACAATTCATAGGAGTTGACCAGACAAAGTTCAATATCCTGACTGAAAAGGTTTGGAGAGTCCAATAACCAACTTCAGACCAGTTACTGAATTAGAAAAAGAAAACAACAGGATGTGGGCGCTGGAGGCCCAGATGTGGGAAAGGCAGGTCTGGATTCAGTTATATACTTGCCTGAATGTCCTTGGCCAGTTTCTGCCAGAGTGCTTGATCCTTCCCATAGCACAGGAAGCTGTGTGTATATACACTGTAGTCCTTGCCATAGAGGCGAAATTGCAGAGCGTTTGCTGGGGACTCGATAGTCTGGTTTTGGGGCACAAAAGTGATTTGTGTAGAGGCTCCCCCAAGGTCCAAAGCTCCATAGGTTCCCTGACCATTGTCTTCTTCTGGGTTAAGGTTGAGCCAACTTGATTTCTGAAAAAGAGTACAGTCACCAGTTCTAGAAGTCTCTGAATATCCTATTTTTCACACTATTTCTTGGACTCAGGGCTTCCTAGGGCAAAGAAATGGGGGCATACAGGTCAGGTAAAGCTCACTGGAGGTTCCTGAATCTGTATCAGATCAACAGCAAGAAAAGAAGGGCTTCAAATGCATAGCACAGACTGCAACAACATACAAGCAGTGT